CTTATATTCCCTTTTAAAAAAAAAAAAACCCCCCCCCCCCCCCCCCAGCAGTGAATGAGAAGAGTTACTAGATAACATCAAAGTATGATTGTTGATACCTACGGAGAATTATCCTTGCAATTAGCATTCAAATGACTGGACGGGAGATAAGGAGGGAATTGGATAAAAGGAGAAATCCGGGATCCTACAAAAAGCCTGACTTTTGTTTTGGGTTATTGCATGTCTGGAAGCCTTTTGTTCAAATGACCCAGATTTGAACCACTGCTTCTTAACTCAGGTCAAGTGACACATCAGTTTAAGGAAAATTGAGCATACTTGTATACTTCGTAATAGTTCAAAAAGTTAACTACTAAACTTACCTTAGAATTTGCTTCATCTTCATTATAAACAGTTACCAGTATCATAATATGAATTTGAGGTAAATTATTTTCAACGTTGTACTTTAACAGACTTAAACTGTTTTTTCTTCACTGTTATTCAGAAAATCCATAATATATTTTTATTGCAGTTCATAATAGGGCTATATTTGCTATATATATTTTGAAAGGCTATGTTTTGCCTTTCTTTTAGGTAGGTAAATTAAAATATATTCTTTGCTTGCTAAAAAGTGTTGGATTTTTGATGGACTATGCAGAGTTTGTTTCATACCAGTGGATACTTTACGGATACTTTGTACATGTTCATAGTGATGTATATTTTTCATTTAGAATATTGTATAGTGAGATAATTTTGTTATGATTTGGCTTGCTTGCTATAGGAAGAAAAAATAGCAGTGATTGAACAGTATGAAAATATGAAACATTTGTTTATTCTTAATTTAATGCTAACATGGAGATGTTACTTTGGGACCTTAAAGACATAATGGTACTCAACATGAGTTAGTATATCAAAGTTTCAGCTTCAAATGTTAAGATACGTAGAATCGCTTCTCTCAAGTGGCACAGAGGAACTGACAAAATTGAATTTGATTCTATAGTAGATTTTAATACTGGATTTCTAATTAGGGTGTGCTCTACTTCTTTTCACTCATGAGTGAAGAGTTTAGAAGCATTGTCTGTGCATGGCTTTTTACTACACTAGGTCACATAGGTTTGGTGGGATGGAGAGCTTCAGGATGAGCCTAAGCTAATGGGCAAAGTGCTTGAAGAGTGAGTCTGATTGTTTTCTATATTGGCCTATTGTGCCTGGAGACACCAACAGTGTAAAACAAAGCATGAAGCCCAACCAGTTTGAATCCTTCAGATTCATGTATTACTTTGCTGTCTTTGGAGTCAGTTGGGTCTGCTGTTGTAGTTTGGAAAGCAATACCTGTCTTAGCTTGGTTTACAGTCTTTGCATGGAACAAGTTAAAAAAACAACAGTAGAAACTAATAACTAGAACAACAGACTCGCAGTAGAATTCAAGTAAAGCAATTTCCATGGAAACCATGTTTTTAAAGAAGCTATTGGCCAAGTTGATTCCTCACCCCAAATAAACACTACTCCTCTCCCCAATAATTCATACAGGGCAGTATGCAAATAGATTGAAATTTTCATCTTCCTCAAAGTTTGCGTATTTAGTTGTCTTCTGGCATTTGCAAGCGAAAACTAAGTTCTATGTAAATGTCTTCTCTGTTTTAGTAAAAATATGAAAAACTTTTTATACCAGCCATACAAAGCTGTATGTAAAGTGAGGCAATATTCTGCTGTAGGCCTAAATTCAGCAAGCATCCCAGCTGGGGAAGAGAAAACTTGTGTATATGCTCAATTTTGAGAGGCATGTATTTGTGTGGTCTTTAATGGAGATAAATTTAGATACTATTTTAAACTCTCTTCTATAACAAACTGAAAAACAAACTAAGCTTGTTCTGAACAGATGAGTAGCTTCTAGGTTTGATCCCTATTTTTTTTGTTGAAGACACTTTATACAGTTAAAAGGCTATTTTACTAGCTGGTTTGAGTATAAATAACAATGGAATATTGTTTCCTTTTTCCTAATTTTGCTTTCATTTTCTTTCTTCTGATATTAAAATTCTGCTATCACAAGTCCAATTTTTTTTTATTACGAAAACAATTATATTCCTTTCTGTGGTTTCCTAATGCTGTGCACGCAGTTTCCCTGCTTACTTAATTACTTTCTGTGAACCTATTTTGACTATTGTTAACCGATATGAACAATTCTGACAAAATTTAATGAAAGAATAATGGGTCTAAAGGTAAAATTGTTGAAAGCCCTGTGAAGAGTTTATGGGTGTAGGAGAAGGGCCAAAATTCTTGGCGATGGGTGGGGGCTGAGGAAGAAATCTTCAGTGGGAGCTCAAGAGCGTGTTACGCTTTTTCCTTCCTGTCAGGTAGCAGGGTTGTAGTAGGTAGCCAGTCATTCCTGCATGTGTCTTGGCCAGCTAGATCTCACGTGTCTTCTTTACTTGATGGTACTTAAGGAACTGGATGATAGGGACAGTTCAGGGAATCCTTGTGTGATGATGGGAAGTGAAGACATAAGGCGCAGTTGAGCTTCTTGGAGTTGATTTTGGTTTGGCGTTGAGAGTATAAAGTCTTAAAAATGCAGGTTCCTAGATTCTGAAGCCTTCATCAGTTCCACTGCTGATGGAACAATGTTTCCAGTTTGACAAAACAAACTGCACAAAAATTGTGTTTTCAGAAAAATATTTGAAGTCTCATTTTTTCTTTTTAATTTTTAAGTGGTAAAATAACTATCCTATTTAAATAGAATATAAAGACTGTGTAACCATAGATTGGAGATTAATCCATTGACCTCAACAAAGTAAAAATTTCAACCAAAGCTGACGTTATTTTTGCGCATTTTTTTCTACAAAGTGAAGTTCTATGCACTTAAATGGTTTGCTGAAAATCTTAACAATTCAGTTTATGTAACTCCTGCTGTTGCCAGTTACCTTAGTATCTGAACACTTCCAAGTTTATTTGAAAGAATGGGTTCTTTTAAACACTTCTTTGGTTACAGTTTTTTGTGTGACCTAACTTTCTTTTCTTTTATTTCTTTTCTTTCATCAAAATGCTAGACATACACAAGCACTAGCAACAACTCCATGTCAGGCTCCTTGAAGCGGTTGGAAGATACCACAGCTCGATTTACAAATGCAAATTTCCAGGAAGTTTCTACACACATTTCAAGTGGAAAAGATTCTTCAGAGGCTAGAGGGTCAGAGAGCAAAGGGAAGAAATCTGCAGGTCATAGCTCAGGTCAGAGGGGAAGAAAGCCTGGTGCTGGAAGAAATCCAGGAACAACTGTGACTGCAGCTAGCCCTTTTCAGCAAGGTATTAATTGTTACACTGTAACATGACTTCTGCTTTGACAGGAATTGGAAATCTTACATATTTAAAACTTGAAAAGTAGCTCATCCTTTATCCTCAATAATGAGAATGTCGTTTTACTTTGGGGAAAAAATAACTTTTTTCAGGGAAACAATGTTCATTGTCATAACATGAAAAAGAAGGTCGTGCATCTTTAAAGGGCAAAACTGATGCTTTTGTTTAGACTGTTAAGGTATTCTTTTTAACTGCTAAAACCAGAAGTTTTTTTATGTGCTGAAAAGTTAGTCTGGGGTAAAATTTAACATGTGAATTTGAGTCTAGGGGTCTTTCTTAGCTCTTTGAGAGAATAATACTAATGTTTTTTAGATAGCGCATATTAGAACGAAACTGGACTGCCTAATGTATAGGATGCGGTGGCCCCTAAATAATTTTTCAAGATGCCAACATTTAAAATATACCATTTTCTTCAAAGTGAAAGGCCTTTTTACTTTTTTTTTTGGTCATCGAAATACATAAGCAGAAAATGATTACCTGACAAGTATATACAGTTTATTTACGTTATGTAATACAAAAAGTTTGACGTTTTGAACATGCTAAAATGCACTAAATGCACTGTTGACGCTTCTAAAAAGCTGATTTTATTATGGCATCTTCATCAGGGTTGAAGAAAGATAAAAAAAATTTAAAAGTCTTTTTTATTACTTAAGTAATAAAAGATATTATTTTGAAACACAACAAATTAGACCTTCTATAAAGTAATTGTTCCTCCATAATTTTCACTGTGGCACATAGTAGCTGACTGTCCTTTCAGCTTTATGATGTTGCTCTTTCTTTGAGTTTATTTATGCAGTGAGCACTTTTAAATTTGTCTAGAAATGTTTCAATATTTCAGGCTTTTTTACTTGAAAAACCTGAAGTGTTTTTTTGTTTGAATTCTCAAAACTTTGAAAATTGCCTTCTGGAGTCCTGCATTCAAAGAAAAACCTTGCTCACTGCAGATGGCAAAATAGATCTTTACTATGTGCATGTATTTTCTTTAAAGCTGCATTAAGTGAAGTTGATGTAACATATTTAAAATACAAAACAACAATGTTTTTATGATTTTTAAATTGCTGTATTAATGTAAATTATATTTTAAATAGAATTCATAATAATATTTAATGGAGTACTAATGATAAAACAGTAATTTTTAAAGGACTTTTTTTACACCTAATGTTGTATTTAGGAGTATTTTCTTGATGGGATAGTCGTCATCAGTCTGAGTTCTACAAAACAGTACCCACATGCACCCACCCATATAAAATTACTAAGTTTCGGTGAAAGTAGATGTTTATATTTCCTAAGTGTGCCTCATTTTCTGCCTTGGATGCGCTAACACAGTGATGAAATGACTGCCTTCCAGATATTACAGAAGCAGTGTAATTCTATTACACAAAAGATCTTTATGGTTCTCTGGCAGTGCTAAAGGAATCTTAAAATGCCAATTTTATACACTGTTTTCCACTTCCTCTACTGTCATTTTGAAAAATACCTATTCTGTGGAACACCTCCACAGCCAGGGTAAATTAAGTGCAATTGCTGTTCCCTTGACCTGTGTCAGACCCTTGATTTAGGTAGAATGGTAAGGAAGATTGTAGGCATAGTGTAGATGTGATCATAGCACGTTTCTGTCAGCCTCCTTCTTTTTATATATATGTGTATGTTTAAAAAAAAAACTTGCTCTGAGTTGCACCGAGTGTTTGTTGTGGCTTCAAAACATGAGGGATGTCAAAGCTGCCTAAGCAACAAAGTTGTTATTCTCCTTTTATTAATTTTCACCTTGTTTGTGCCCCAAATTGAAATCTGAATCTCAGATAGGAATGTGAGAATCAGATCCAGCAGAGCGAAGATCAGCAGGAGAAGCAATGACTTATCTTAAAAATAAATTCTTTAGCTCTTGGTAACACTTCTCATAAAGACATTGTACTTTAAATTTTTTTATTCTAAGATATTAATCTTTCCCATCAATTTTCATCAACTACAGGAAAAAAAAAATGTACTTTTTCTTTACTTTCTTTTTTAGGAAGCTTTTTGGGCACTCCTGGGAGCATAAAGTCATCTTCTGGAAGTTCAGTTCAATCTCCCCAGGATTTTTTGAGTTTTACAGACACAGATCTGCGAAGTGACAGTTTCACGCATTCTCAACAGGCTTCATCAACCAAAGATGTACATAAAGGAGAGACTGGGAGTCAAGAGGGAGGTGTCAATTGTTTCACTTCCTTAATTGGTCTCCCTTCATCATCAGCTGTTTCTCAATCTAAAAACTTTGACAGCTCACCTGGAGACATAGGTAATTCAAGCCTTACTTCTACAGCATACAAACGAGCTCAAACTTCTGGAATAGAAGAAGAAACTGTAACAGAGAAGAAACGGAAAGGAAACAAGCAAAGTAAACATGGGCCTGGTAGACCCAAAGGAAATAAAAGTCAAGAAAGTATTTCCCATCTTTCAGTTTCTTCTGCTTCCCCAACTTCATCTGTGGCATCTGCTGCAGGAAGCGTGACAAGCTCTGGTCTTCAAAAATCTCCAACTTTGCTCAGGAATGGAAGTTTACAAAGTCTTAGTGTTGGCTCATCTCCAGTGGGTTCAGGTAGGCATTTATTGGATTTGTTTTCTTACCTCAAAATATGCCTTTATTTTAGCCATAATTCTTGAGTATGCTTTTCAAGAACAGAGTATCATTTAAAGTGTCTTGAAAGTCGCATTGGGAAAAAAAGTAAAAATTAGAATATGACTGTTGGAAGAGTAAGTTTTGTTCCATGTATAGGTGCCACTGTGCTATAGGTGACTGTAGTAGATTGACCTGTGTATTAACCTCTGTGCTATACAAATGCAGGTGTTGAGGCTGTAGGGGGAAAAATAAGTTGCATGAAAATAGGTTCTTTGGAAATTACATGTGACAGGTTTAGCTAAAATAAATGATAGTTTATACAGACTATATTGTCTGTCTGCTCTGTTACATAGAGAAAACAAAATCAGTACTCAAGTATGTCAGCTGTGCTGAGTATGTCCCTCAATTATTTTTTCCCAATTTAGCTTAACTAAAAATCAAAATGTCTATATGGAGAATTACCAGTTTAAACATGTAAAAGGATATTCTGAATCTGGACCCCTGTGCAGCCAGATGACATTTTCATATTCTTGTGTGCTTTTTAGCAATTGAAATTGGCTGGTTTGTTCTTCCTCTGTTCTAAATGTTGTGTGCATCTGAGGCTGCGAGAGGCTTTCTGTTCCCAGTAAACCTGTGTGTGGAATGACCTTGCGGAATACTGTATCTACCAAAGTCTTTGTTGCTTTGAAGTTTCTTTCAAGGCCTTTGTGTTTGGATAAACAAATAGCAAACTATCTGATAGCTTGTTTTTGTAACTTTGAAATTTTGTCCTTTTTGTTGTTCTAGTAGATTTTTTTTCTTAATTTTTCTTTTTGGGGGAGAAAGAGAAATGGAACTTGAATGGTTGTGGGCAGGGTTTTATGCTTTTATATTGTGTCTTTTCACTGCATAAGCAAGAGATACTTAAAAAATATATATACTTAAGAAACAAGAAACTTCATATTTGTTACAAAACAAGGCAGGTACTTAAAAACTTGATCTCAAAACCACATTATTTTAAATCTTTGTTAGATGTAGGCAAATGATGCTTTTTATTACGGGTTATAATGGCAATAGCAGTGGCAACTATATTAAAAAAATATTTTTCCTGCCTTGAAATCAATAGAAAGAAATGGTATGTGACAAAACTTCCTAGTTCACTGTCCATATTTTTGATTAAAATGCAGCTTTAAAAACATCTTAACCTCATATCTGTTATGGACAGAGATCATCCAACAGATTTAGATCAATGTTCTGATTATTTTAGTATGCACTTTCTTATTTCTTTATAATCCCTTTGAGGTGGATTATGTATTGTTGGAGTTGGGGTTACAGATGCAAGTACAAGATATTGGTTTGAAGTGAATGACCCATGTTTCCCATCTTAGATTTGTCTTAGAATATTCCCATCTTGTCAGCTCCTAGAACTGGCCTTTCCCTGGCCAGGTCTATTCTTGCTTCCTTTGTCCTCTTTATTACATCTCACTCGTCCATCTATAAAATGATAATGTAAACTCCCATTGTAAAAAGCTTTGAAATACATGGATGGAAATACTGGGTAGGTTTTATTACCTTTTTCATGATACTCAGCCTATAATTTCACCTCTGTTAAGCATACTTAGATTCTTGCTAGCCAGCGTTAGACCTGTCCTCTAAAACAGTGGTATTTTCTGAAGGCACCAAAGAATATGAATGAAAAACAAAAAACCAAACAAAAACCATAAACAAAATCACCCCAACAAAACCGAGAAAACCCAAAGAAACAAAACCAGATGGGATTTCTTTGCCTTCGAGCATGAGCTCTAAATTCATCTACAAACTTCTGCTTGAGTCTGAGCATATTGTTTTCATGTGCTCTTCTCCCTCATTTCCCCTCTTTCTTATGGTTGTAGTGCTGCTTTCCTCACTTCATCATAAGCATTTTCTGGGTTTAGCAGTCCATTTACAACTTTGTTACAATGAGGACAGGCATATGAGTATTATCAGTATTATCAGAAACATAACATTTTCTCAGGTATGATATGCTGATGTTTCTCTTTGAAATGTCTCTATATTGTCCAATAACAAAATCTGACAAGTGAATCTAAACGATTTGACCCAAAACCCCAAATAAGATTTTGTGCATGTAAATGTAGTGAGAGAAAATACAGCGGAAGTCAAGCCAAAAAGTTTTTACTGACTCTTACTTGGAATTGCCTTTGCTACTTCAAAGAAGCAGAATCAGGAATGAGTTAGGCCAGACTGTACAAAGCTTTTGAGGCACTTTTTCGAGAATCTCCTCCTCATTTTTTTTCTAATAACCTTCTTAACCGCAGCTATCTTAAGCTACCATTCTTTTTCCATTTTCTTAAGAGTACTTGTTGAGATCCATAAAAATTATGAAAATCATTACTTCACAGACGTGTGATTATCCTGTTCACAGTTAATGTTCAAATTAGATGAAATGTGAAGGAAAGCTTATTTTAGAAGGTAATGCAGATTCATCATGTGCTATTTATACATAATTAAATGTCTTCCATAAAACTTTTATTCTCAGTAAGTACATTTAGCTCATTTTGTGAAAATATTTGTCCTCTCCAAACTTTTTTCCAGTCTACAGAACCTCTGTTTTCCTGCTTAATAAGAACAGAGACGTACCATGAATAGTACAAGGCCATGTAATTAAAAGCTGTTACAATACATACGCTCAGGTTGTATTACAGTTGCCATGCAATTGATGTGATGCTTTCAAAATTTTGAGCGCTGGAATTTTCAATCTTAATGCTCTTTATAATTTTTTCTGAAATGTATTTGTAATCTGATAGGAAACAGTGTATGCATTACTTTAACAGTGTACTCAAAGGAATAAAAAGTAATTTAAAAAAGTGAAATAAAATGTAGTTGGTAGGGTAATAAGGAATTTTTATATTAAATTAACATTTAACTAGTACATCTGTCCCTATTAAAAAAAAATAAAATAGCTTCTTTAGCCAGTAACAGCTTATTTCCAAACCATACTTAATAATCTTTCTGCTGGAAATTCACAAGCACTGCAAGTTTGTTGTCTAAGAAGACGTAAGTCAGTTGTCAATGGGCGTTATATAAAGCTGATACTGGTTCCCCCAAAATGGGACTGGTCTTTGGAGTGATTTTGGGATCTGAATTTTTTAATGGGGGAAGGTTTCATCTGAACTCTAAAATTTTATACAGCTACTTAACTTCGTAAAAGTCACACTAGTTGTATTCTCAGGATTAAGTTCATTCTCAGCATCCTTCTAGGGAATAATACTTAAAGATTTAGATCTGAAGTATTGTAAAGCAGTGATCCCTTCTGCTGAAGATTTTTTTTTTTTTTCTTTTCACAACAATGGTGATTAAAGAACAGAAAACCGTAATCCAGGGACTGGAAGAGATGAGTAGCATCTTGTCCCAGTGCTGACCTCTGCTAGTAGTAGATTCCAAGATTAAATGTTTCTTTTACCATACTTCCACTTTATTTCAACAGTAGTGCAGAAACTAATAAGGTGGTGGGAAGAAGAAAAAAATACAGTTACGATAAATAACTTTCATACATTCTGTATTTTTCTGTCAAGCAGTTTGTGCAGGCTCTGGCCCCTCTTTGTTTGGAGTACACTCCAGTGCGTGAAGAACTTTCAGAGAACTCATGTTCCACAGCGATAGGGGAAAAAAACCCATTTTATGTGCCTTCTGACTTTTGTGGAATAATGCAGCAAGGTAAAATGAAAAGCAATCAAAGTGTCAGAAGTAAACTGAAATTTCTGTTTTATGGTAGAGAAAGTTCTTGCACAGTTATCTTCAAGCTCTGCATGGATACTTGCTGCTGGAAGAACTACAGTGCTTCAAGCATATAGGGATGCTTCTCTGTCTTTCCCAGTTCCGTTCTTGACTTCAAGTGTACAACAAATTGTATAGTATCAACTTCAGTTGCTAAGGACTTCAGGGGATCATTTGCTTCAATATTTTAATTTTTACATAATTGATTTTATGCCTTTATGAGCACTGTAAACCCTACAAAAGCTTATAAAGCAATTAACTTTTTTCCCTAGGAAGACTGGAGAGGGTTAAATTCCAAATTGGACCTCAAAATGGTTACCTTTTTCTTCCAGCACCCTTGCTGTGTCCATCTTCTGGAATTCCTTTGTCACAATTGAGGCAACCTTATAATTTGTCTTCCTGCATTTTTATCTCTACATCGTACATATTCTACCCTTGACCAGTCTTCAGTATGCTCTGGTTAGTAATACTAGACAGTTTTTGGAATAAAGGATGTATCCAAGCCCAGTATTGTACTTTAATATAGCAATATTTCAAATTCTGATTTAGAAACAGTTAATGTTTCTTGCCACAGGCCCTTCTGGGTTGATCTTATGTCTTGTGCAGTCAAATTTCAGCTTTATATAGGAGTTTACTACATGCTTCAGCTTAGTCCATGTATTTTATTCTCCTTTCTCATCAGATTCAAGCAGTGGTGAAGCCTCTGCCAAATGTTATGCTTCTGTGCAAGGAGATGATCTTACTGTTAAGCTTGTTGTCATACTGATGATGTAAGAGAACTCAGAGCTTCAAAGTAGATGGGTAACTTGAAATCATTCTCATTGAGATGCCGAGTCCCTCAGAGCTTATGTTAAATCTTTATGATGTTATGTTTAAACTCTTCTGTAACCTTTGACTTACTAGCTCAGTCTATTGGGAGAAAGAGCTTAGACAAAACTATTCTGAAACAGTTTGTGCTATTACGTTTATCTGCTAGGTGCCCCAGAAGCCAAAGCAGAAAAAGAAGTCTTGCTGTGTTAAAATGCCAGTTTTTATTCCAGGGGAGACAGAATAGAAAGGACCAATTGATACTAATAGATATTAATGACCTTTTAGGACTAAGCAAATGGTGTAGAAAACACACATGACAAAATTCTTGTGCAGAGAATTTCATTCTTCATATTTGAGGCTCAACAGAAATGGTGTTGGTTTGATATGAGATTAAAATGTTAAAATTGATGATTGTT